TGGGAATTTCACCCCACCCCCTGGGCTATGGGGACAGGAGACGGGCTGGAGACCAAGTCCATCACCACCGGCCAACGACTTCACTGTTCGTGCTGTGTGTTGGGACCTCCATAAACACCCTGCACAACGGGGTCTGTGGGCTTGGTGAACACTGGCAGTGCTGGGAGGGTGCCGCTCCCGGAGAGGGTGAGGGAGCTCGGGGCTCCACCCCCATTCCGTGCCCTGTCCGTCTCTTCCGTTGGGTTGTTTGAGTTACATCCTTGATAATACATTGGTAATCGTAAGCATAATGTTTTCTGAACAGCTCTGGCAAATGGTCAAACCCAACGAGGGGAAGGGTGTGGAGACTGTGAGAATACCCGACTTTGTAGCCAGGTCGCACAGAAGTGCAGGCAGCCCCAGGGCCCGATTCTCGCAACTGGAACCTAAGCGGGGGCAGTCTTGTGGGACTGAGCCCTTGACCTGTGGGGTCTGACGCTAAATCCAGGTAGTGTCAGAACTGAATTAAATTGCAGGACACCTGGTGTGTTGGGAATTGGTCGGCGTGAGGAGGAAAACCCACAGATTTTGGGTCAGAAGTGCTGAGTAGAATAGCTCAATCCTTATGCCAACAGTCTCCATTTTGTGGTTTAGAAGTCTGGGCACGACGCGCGGGGGGTGCCAGTGTTACCTTCACGCCTCTGCCGCTGTCTTCAGGGATTTGCAGGTCCAGCCCCTCTTTGCACGTGTACAGGCAGTCAATCACCTTCTTGTCTGCCAGTTTCCCAGAGCGGATTGTCAGGCCAGCCAGGTCGCCTCGGAAAAACTGGGTCATGTGCAGGTCACCACCTTGGGAACACGGGGGTGGGGAAAGGCAGGCCGTTATGTGTGCAGCCCAGAACCTCCTGCTTCGTTTCTCAATGTGATGTTACCGGTGGTGGCAGCTTGATGGATGGACATGCGGGTTAGTTCAGACCAAATCCTGTTAGCCTTGCAGTCTACATGGAAGCGCAATGAAGAAATTAAATCGTTGATGATCATGCATATGGCCTGGGGAAAGAGGGGTTGGGGCCTCTCACTGGAAGCCTGGAAGCCAAGAGGTCCCATGAGTCCCCACACCTCTGGCCACTCATTGGTGAAGGGAGGCAGAGCCCACACCTGTCACCATGGTGCACAAGTGACATTTCCTACTAGTACCAGCTTCGTCAGCCACTGTCTTATCAACCAGCTGGTTCATGGTCTGGGCTGCTTTTTCTAACTGAGCTTTTTCTAACACAGGGACACATACACACTTGGGAGTGAACCTACACAGACATGACGAGAAAGGTACAGGGGGGCTTAAGTCCCACCCTGAACTCAGGAGCCTATTATCCAGGCCTTTCGGATGGCTGGCGAGGCCTATCATAGCTGTCTCCAGCTACAGAGGCTAACTGGGAAGTGAAGAAGTCACAAGGAAAACAAAACCCCAGAAAAGGGTCCTTGACAGACTAACAAAAAGCTCAATACAGCTGAGACTAAGCTTCGTTCTCACACTGAACAAGGGAGAAGAGATCAACTTTCAGCAGCAGGTCTCTCTCATTCCTGATAAGGACACTAGACACTGGAAATCATCACTAGGAACCGAGATTTCTAGGAAACATATAGTTAAAATTTAGTATCGGGACAAGATATCCAGAAACGAATCTTTTCCTGTCTCGTGGTTCAGCTATATGAGAACCAGGAGATGCCCCCAAACCTGGCCTGAGATTTCAGTAGGGAGCCTCGTGCAGTGGGATCAGGGTAAACTCTGATGGGAAAAAATAAAATCCCATCAGGGAATTGCATTCATGAGTCATTTGCCCTCACTTCAACTGGGATCAGAAAGGGCACAAAAGGGAAATCCCATGAAGCAATGCGGGGGGGGAGGGGGTGCAGGGCACAATGCAAACCAGCAGCTCAAATAGTGTCTGGGACCAAAATGCAATTCAGCAACGGTAACTTCATGCAAAATGTGGAATGAATTGATGTTTCGTGTTAAATGAAACACAATCGTGAACCGTAGGGAGAAAAATCCAGCAACCTGCAGAGGCCACAGGCACAGGCTCAGTTTCGTTGTCATTTTCAACTCCTGAATACTCTGTAGAAAAGCAAGACAGACAACAGAAAAGGACCACGAGGTTAAGCTCTTCAAATTGGACCTTAAGAATCAGTTTTGAAAAGCTACCAAATACAAAACGCAGAGAGAAAACCCCGCCCTGGTGTCCCCCTTGGGGGCACACCCCACCTGGAAACAAGGTTGTACTTGATCACCTTTTTCCAGAAGCAATATTTACCACCTATACTCTTCTTCGTATTCTTCTTTCATTCCACCTTCCCACATCCTCCTTGCCAAAGCGTAGGTCAGATTCAAAATAGGATAAATGAAAGCCGGTAACTGAATTCACTCATCTCGTCAACCTGTGCTGCTGGGTGGGACATCACGCGGCGTCGCACTGACTGCAGAGAAGTAACCCCACAGGTAACACCAGGCCCCGGACCTACAGCACTTCCCTTCCTAACAGGGCAGACGTCTGTGCAGACAAAATGGGACAGCACACGGAAGCGTCCAAAGGCTGCGGTGTGGTGAACTCGTAAAAGTATGGCTTTTTGGAAAGCTCAAAACAAGTTCACATTGGTCCAGACTTTAACCTCCAAATGACAGAGACAAGAAGGCATCTCCATCCACTTCTTCTGAACAGAAAAAGAGGGTCAGAGGTTACGGAACTCACTTAGAGAAACAGATAATCATCAGGGGTGGGGCTCTGACCATACGCACCACCTGGAGGTCTCCATCGGTGTTCTAATGACAGACCGGAGAGGCACACCCAGGGACCAAGCATCGAGTTTCCATTTGCCAGGCCATGCTCTCACAGCCCCCAGCACAGACTGGCTGCCCCTTTTGTGCTGCAACCTGGAGATGCACTGGGGGCAAGGCCAGGTGGGGGCAGGTGAGCCCTGGAGCACACACAGCTCCTACTCTGTAACACACCATCAGCCTGGGCTCTCCGCGGTGAACTTGTAAGGAAAGTGGTTTCAGATCACTGAAAGGAAGAATGGAGCCTTTCCGCCCTGTTAACTAAATTTTTAAAAACTGGTGTTTGGTTTGGGAATTTCGGCAGATTTTTCTGGCTGAGGGTTTTGAGAGGGCTAAGGGAGAAAGAGGTGAAATAAGGTGAGAAGTATCTGCTATTCAATGGCAGAGACCAGAGATCAAGGAAGGCGGGGCGGGATGTGGGGCTTTATTGTAACCCAAACGACAAAGCTCCCAGAAAATAACATTTAGGTATGCACATGTATTTGTCTTCTTATTTTTAAAATAATTACTCAAAAATTGTTGAATTTGAATTAAAATTTTAAGAGTAGCAGCTAAAAAAATCCTCTCTCTCTAATAATGTATTCTTCATTCTTTGGTCTCATGTTCCACTTACTCATGGATGAGCTGCCACTAAAAAATTAAATCCAGGAATTTGCTGAAGAGGCTCACTCTAAAATACTCTCTTACTCCTTTTCTTTTTTTTTCTTTTTTTTTTTTTTAGCTGAGCCATCCTGCCACCTGTTGGCAGCTCAGCGGCTGCTCAGCTCAGGCCGGGCATCGAACCGCTGTTGCTCAGAGCTCGCACTCTTGTGCGAGCTCTTAACCAACTGAGCCACTCGGCAGGCCCTCTCTTACTCCTTTTCATTTGAAAGGATCTGCAAGAAAATTATGAAATTCAAATCCTCCCACAAGAAGCAAAGCTCTCTTGGGAATTAGGCCCTTTCACAAATTTCTAACCTAACTCACGGTACAATGTTACCATAGGGAGGGAGGGAAAATGTCTATTTCTCAGGTACCTGTAGTGATGGTGACACCTTACAGTGACACAACACAGAGTCAAGCGCAAGGGCTAATGTGGGGCCCATGAACCTCGAGGGCAGACTGGGGGGGTCTCTGAACTTGGATGGGAAAAATTACATGTTTCTTTTCACTAACTTCTGATATCTAGTTTTCCCTTTGGTTATAAATAGTCAACCACAAGCCACAGTATAATAGCAGAAATGGCGACTCTGTCACCAATAGAAATAGCTATTATTTTCCTATCATGTCATATTATTGCAGATGTCACGAGAATCATCACAAAGCCCCTCATTACTGTGAAATTATGGCAGTTACTGGACCTGCTGCTAAAGCCTGCTCTTCATTTGGCAATAAGGTAGCACAGGTGTTACTAATTCACAAACTTTGTTAGTACTTTGATAACTGTATTTCAATTTAATTGGTTACCTTTGCAGTCCTATGTATTTTATTTTATAGATTAATAAGAAATTATCCTGAGAAGGGGTCCATGGGCTTCACCAGACCACCAGAGGGCTCCACGGTGCAGAAAAGGTTAAAAGCCCTGGTCCGGTGGGTCGGAGCCTGGGCCCCAGGAGCACCGGCTTCCGGGCTCAAATCCTAGCGCCAGGATGAACCAGCTGGGTAACACAGGCTCGCTGCTTCTCTGAGCCTCAGTTTCTCCAGAGACAAAACAGGAATACAAATAGCATCTACCCCACAGGCTTATTATAAGATAATTACGTCAAGGAATCGGCACGCAGCCTGCCGCTGAGAAAGCACAAATAAATGGCACTGTTGGTCCAGTGGCCGTCATCACAGGCCATCCCTGGTCTTGCAGCACAGATGTCCCCGAAGCCTCTCAAACATAGGGCTTCTGAAAGGTGTTCCCACCAGGTTATCCAGCGCTAAGCGCTCTGGAAGAGTCCTCGGGGCTGAAGCACACTTATAGCTCTGCGCCTGATTGTCGCTTCCTTGTTTTCATAAACTTCTCGACAAACAGATTAATTGATAAAATAGTTCCTCAATGACAATCTCCCTCTGTGCAACGCTCTCTCCCAGGTTCCCAGGAAAGGCATCGGTGCGTTTCAGTCCTTTAACACAATTTTAGTGAGTGCCCATCAACACAGCCACCCTAGAGGGCAGCATCAGCAGTGTCCCCAGGGAGGTCACTCTTGGGCAAAGGCATGAAAAGGAGGAAAGGGGAGTAACGGACTGAGAAGAGTCTGTAGAGCAGAGGGATAATATTCTTTAATTCCTGAGACTTGCGGGGAAAGGTGCCAATGCCCGTTACCTTGCCAGCAAGCCCCAACCACAAGTTGAGTCTGGATCCTGGATGGATGAAGCGGGTAATCTTCAGTCACAGAGAAGGGCTCGTGAGAAACACCGTCCACATAGAGAGTCGCCCGTGGGATTTCCACGTTGAGGACGTAGTGGTGCCATTCCTCATCGCAGACCTACGAGAGGCCGAGGGAAGGACCAGAGCGTAACTGTCCACGTTCCCTCTTATCTAAAGACACAGCAATGGCAGCAGTACAACCTGATATGGAGAACAAGCCACCCATAAGGAGTATCTGTCTTCCCAGAAGAAGATTTCTTTTTAAAGTGTATAACAACAACATATTGGGTTGTCGGAGAAGTCATGACGTATTTTTTCTATGTTTTTCGTTGCAAAAACGCATCATGACTTTTCTGACAACCCCAATACATTTCACCCAACCACACCTCCCCCAAAAGGGCCAAGGCAACAATGTCGTCTCCAAGACATTTCAGACCAGGGGGAACTGCTCACCTATCACATGACAGGGTCCCCAAATAGGAAGCTTCCCAGCTCTCTTCTGCCAAGAGCATGATACCAGGATGGACGTGCACCCACTGGGCTGGCAGAGCCTGCCAACTGGCCATTCCTTTTCTGGATCAAGATTAAAAGGCCCTCCGATCTCAGAATAAGGCAAACTGCAGTATATGAGCTCTCTTTTCCAACTCAAAGTTGACGATCTACATAAATCTGAACGTACAGCTCAGACGGTACAGCAAAGTAAACTGAGTTCCTTTTCCTTCGTGAATGAGCACCTCCCAGGCATCTACCGCCCCGGCTGTCACACGAAGGTGCTGGTCTGCAGGCTCCACAGCCCCGACCTTTCAGGCCTGGCATTCCCTGAATAGATGCTGAGATGTAATTTTTTAAAATGTATTTCTAAAAAGCTTGCCCAATGTACAGTGAATTTCTAAGAAACTGAACCAATGAGAAATCGAGGGCTTAAACAGACCAGAAACATCAAAATATAAGTGAAGTTACCAAAGAATACCAAAGAGAAGCAACTGCTCCTGATAAATTAGAGAAAAAATTCAAACCTCTAAATTGTATATATGTTTATTACATATACACAATATATAGTTACATACGTATGTATGTATATTGCATGACATATTTCCAAATAAAGAAATTGCACAGTAATTCATCTTTGAGGCAGATACAATCTTAATTTTAGTTTAAGTCTCTATTTAAAACAAGTTCTGTAATTAATAAGCTCCTTCAGAAAGCACGTTTCTAGGGGATTAGAATAACACTGTATTTAAAGATCAGTAGTATTTGTCAAAACCCATGAACAAATTCTGAGAAGATAGTAGCATTAGTATAATTTTTGAATTTCCCTGAAAACAGGGCGAGTAAGATAGGAAAACCCAAAGCTACAGAGAGCAAGCATCCACAATAATTCTCGGTGACAAGGTAACCGCACAAACGGACCAGAGAGTAGGTGGAGAAGGGCCAGGGGGCTTCTGATCAAGCCGGAGATGTCAGAGAGCGTGAGGACACATATTGTTAACACAATGAAAACAACAGAAGGGGGAGGTGGATTCCGAATGCCAGAAAAATAGTCATGCCGACCAACTCTGCCATTTGAAAGTACAGGAAAACTAATTTCATGTAAAAATGAGGGGGAGTGGGCAGGGGAAAGGATCACAACTCAATCCCACACAAAGTTTTTAAAAGGAAAAAAAAGAGAATTAAGGGGAATAACATCTCTTCGGACAATGAAAGCGTACCTGAAAAGTATGCCTACCAAAGAGATGACACAATCTATTCAAAGCATGGTGAAAGACATTATGAAAATGACACAAAATATGAAGGAATACAGTTCGTAATTAGAGAAATTCAGAAATGAGGTGACAGAACACAGGAATGAATTCAAGAGAAAGTGACAGATATAGAAAACAGGTAAAGAATATCAACAAAAGGTAAGAAAAAAAAACCCAAAGCGATGGAAGACAATACTAAAAACTATAACAACAACAGTAACAAAAATTCTCCCAAAATACCAGAATGTTTCAAATGATATCCTAAAAGGGCACACCCCATATCTGGGAAAACAGACCCAAAACAACTAACACGTAGTCATAAAATTTAACTGACTTGAAAAGAAAAGGAAAACATCCCTTTGGTCATCAAAACAAAAAGACCGAGTGTTTTATGAGAGAAAGAAAAGCAGATTGTCATCTGATTTTAATTGCAACATTTTATAAGTCAGAAGACAATGGGGAGATATATTTTCTCCTATTGGGGATCTTAAGTATGAGTCAGAGATTTCATATCCAGCCAAATAACGCAAAAGACCTCAGGAATTATTGCTCCCATGAGCACTTCCTGGGAGCAGACTTCCTACAACCCAAATGACCAGAGCGCGTGCCACAAAGCTGGTGGCATGAGCATCAATGGCTGCTTAAATTGCAGAAAGAGAAACAGCCAGACCCAGAGCTTAAACAGATCAGGAGCATATAAGCCTGGATGTGATCAAGCCTTTAGGTCCCACTATCACCGTACAGGATATCAAGATAGAGAAGCAAATGAAGTGACACCACAGGGATTCAATCACCCAAATGGAAACCGTGGGACAAAAAGCCTGATTTTGTCACCAAATAAATTCCAAGAGAGAAAAGGGAAAAAAAAAATCTATAAATTAAAATAAACTTAAAGGTTTAACAACCAATCACAGTGCAGGGCCCTTTCTTTGGATCCTGATTCAAACAAACTGTAAACACAAAACCACTTACAAGGTAATTTTGAATTTGCCCACTAACTCCGTGAGGCCAATAAAATCAAGCTAAGGCCAAAGGTTTTCTGCTTGTCCCAACCTCAAGTCAAGAGAAGACACGAGCTGCTGTGATTTTAATGAAAGGCTTTCTCAGTTTACAGCACCCCTCATTTCCTGTAACAAGTCAATTTTTTTTCACGTGATATTTGCTTTTTATCAAGGCAACTGTTGGGAAAGCTGCTTTGCAAAGACATGACATTGTTGAAAGGAATGTGATGTGATCTAACTTCGAAACTGCAAATTCCCTCAAGCTAAGGAGTCATGTGGTATCTGCGAGATGTCAAGATTGCTGGTTCCTTGAAAATTTTAAATATCCTGTGGTGCCCTGAATTTGGAAAGTTCAATGGACTTAATTTGCTATCCTATTACCCACAGATACAGAAGTCATAAAATCGTAAATATACGTTCCCCAGAAATAGCCAGGCCTGTGTAAGGTTGCCATACCGAGTTAATCTCTGAAAAGATCACCATCGGTGAGTTTTCCTGTCACTCACCTGATTCAACTTCCAGTGGAATTCTGCAGGTTTGTATTTCTTCTCTCCTGAAGGATCCTGACGGAGGAGGAAAATCAATCGACAGCCATGGACAAAGAGTGAATAATGATGCCGGTTCATATCTGCAGAGAGAATGCCTACTGGTAAATTGCCAACTTAAGACCCAAAGGAGAATTACGAGCTGTGTCTTTAATGGAGTTTTGAAGACAGTTTTATCAGCATAAATGAACTCTCCAGTTGGGCCAAGGCAGGGTTCAGAAACAAATACACCTGGGTTTTTACTGAGAAGCGTGGTCCAATCCACTGAGTAAAACTAACAGATGTCCGAAGCCCAGGGCAGTGCACTGAGGACAGAGCACCCCAGGTGCTAAACACAGGACAATGTACGTAAACCCACCAGCCTATGGGGAGCCTCTTGGGAAAGAATAAGGTGCCGCCTCCAGCGGCCACTGCAGTGGACACTGAAGCGCGACACCTTCCCAGCAGCATCAACCTACCTGTTTTGTCTGAACTGCAAAGAATCGTCTCCTTCTTCCTGCCAAAGGGCCCGTGCCTCATCCACACAGAGATCGTAAAAGGCTCTTTCGGGTTCACAGAAACGACGCCATCTGGGATCCTGACTGCTTGGGTGCCATTGAACTCGAAGACCTGGTCGCTGTCGTGGCCGTTGTCGGTGGGGAGGCCGACGGTCCAGTTCAAGGAGCTGCTTGGGGAAGGGAGCAGCTCGGCAGTGCCAGACGCAGCACCTAGGACACACAATGACACTCAGTGTACATTACGTGAAGCACTTAAAAGGCACAGCCTCCCAGACCACACAGATGTACCGTCCTGTCTCATGGTTATACCAGGTGCTAGTTCTGGTTAACTTTTCCCCAAAAACAAGGGTTTTTGTTATAAGGTAAATCCACAAAAAAGTAACTTTTTTTTTTTTTAAGATAGGGGGAAAAAAAGAAGTGTTACCTATAATCCCATGCAAATAGGTCTACAATTAACATTTGCATGTAGGCACTTCCAGTCCTTTCTTTATGAATATATACATATTATAAAAACAGTATAATATATATGACTATATATGCATTATAAAAGTGGAGTCCCAGGTACATACACACATGTATGTGCACACTCATATTCCCATTCATATTCTTATATAGCATAATTCAAAATGTCTGAATAGCATTTCATCACACAGATACACCATCATCTATTTAACTGATCTCCCTGGTGGACTGAGGTTGTCCCAAAATTTTTTCTATGATCAATTGTGCCTTGATGAGCACCTCTGCATGTCTCCATGATTATTCCCTTAGAATAAATTCCTAGAAATAGAATTACTAAGTCAAAAAACATAAAAAGGGCCGGCCGAGTGGCGCAATGGTTAAGAGCTGGCTTGGGACGCCAGAGGGCCCCGGTTCGGATCCCACATATGAGGGCCAGTGACACTGCCCTCTACAGCTAAGATGCTGAACAACAGCTCAACCTGGAGCTGGGCTGCTGTGAGTCGCCGGCGACGGCATAGGCTGCAGCCCCTGTGGCAGTGGGTTGCCACGGGCTACCGTATGTAGCCAGCAGCCAGCGTGAGCGGCCAGCAGCCGCAGTGAGCGGCCGTCCAGAAGCCGGCGACTGATGTGCCTCGCCTGGGAAGAGCGCAATGATGGTGCCAACTTGGGCCAGTGAAGCAACATCCTCCACAACTAGACTGAAGAACAAAAATGACAGCAACTTGTCTGTTCCCCTTCCCCCAATTCCCCAATAAAAAAAAAAAAATCTTAAAAAAAAAACATGAAAAATTTGACAACTGTTGTTATGTATTGCCAAGTTCAAGTTTAAAAAAAAAATCTGTCCACAGAAGAAGATTTTGTAAACTTTTCCTGTCACTTGGTCCTTGAATCCTTCAGTCCTAGGAACAGCAGGACGTGGCTGGAACAACCTGGCTTCTCAAGTGACATACAACCTCCGTCCCAATCCCAGCTCTGCCACTTCCTAAAAGCGTGACCTTGGGCAAGAGACTTAGCCTCTCTCCGTCTCAATTAATTCCTCTGTAAAAACCAGGTCAATACCACCTTCTCTGTAGGCCTGATGGGGAGATTAAATAACACGTGGGGAAGTACTTAGTATAGAGTAAGCACTCACATATGAAATTCTCTCTCTTCTTCCTAACTTTCAACTGTTCTGCTGAGAAAACGTTCATTTAATACCATAAACAATGGCATTATGAGAAAGTAAGTTCTATGCATTATACCACATATATTTATATGTATCGCTTAAAATAGAGAGCATTCCAGACCTCTTATGTTACACAGCCTTAGGTGCATATGATTGTGACTATTTGGACTCAGAGTCATAAAACACCCGAGCATATTCACCACCGGGACGAGCCAGCAGAGAACCTACTCTTCCGCTTTGGGTTATGCGCCACGTAACAATTACCGGTTCTGTCAGAGAACCAGTTGCCTAAATCTAACTGTTGCTATCAGGCTGGTGAGAAGACAGATGGGTATCAGAAACACTCCTCGCAAATCCGACACTGAGTAGCCCTTGAAACACAAAAGACCTTTCTGATTATAAAGAGGCCATTGAAGTTGCTGGAACCTTATCACTGGCCAAGGAAAACATTCTTCCTCAACAGTTGCCATGAGAGGCATCCAACCTCACCTTTTACATCATTTAGAGAAAGCAGAAAAATTTCCACTGACAGTGAAGACAGAGAAGGCAGATTGGCCATCCTGCCGCGTCTCCACTTCTCCACACGACGCCTATGGTACAGAGTCTGGGGAGACTGTCCATGAGAGGTGGGTAGCTTCAGTTTTCATTTTCTACTTCTCCTTTGCCAAAAACTGTTGCGTTACCTACAGTTTTTTCTTCAGTCCTGAAGTTCGTTTAAAACTCACTCCACGTATATAATCCCTACTTTGATGATTCTCAGTGTCTGTCTGAGAAATACTTTCTTCACATCAGTGGTTCTTAAAATGAACATTCACGTAACATTTTGAACAGACGTTTAGGGGGTTATGTACCCCGCTTAAGCCCAGCCAGTAAGAAAATTAGCCAGTAAAGGCAGCCAACAGCCATGTCAGAAGTCAGATTCTATTTTAGTCTGAGACCATGAATACCACACACGCACATGCACACACACACGCACATCTCCACGTGTGAGGAACGCTCGCCTTCGCCGAAGACCGCCATGCCTCCTTACCACAGAGCCGGTGAAGGGACTTCTCAGAGTAGGTGTCGCGGTCACAGCCTTTCCCTATGTGGCCGGTCTCTAGCTCCACCGTGGCCTGCACCGAGGCCACGGACTCATCACACGTCTCCAGGTGGACGTTCGGGAAGAGGGCCAAGGCGCCCGTGCCAGGCTCATACTCTACCCTGTTGTTCCAGCCTGTGTTGGCCCACAGGTGGGGTGGAGGAGGGGAGGAAAACCCACACGTTAGGTTCCTGCGGCACACAGATTTCAACAATAGGTGTGAGAGCAGACACGAGAGCGGAGCTCACCTTGCCACCCAGCAGTGCAGGTGGGCTTAATGCTGACCTTTACCAGAACATCTTCTGTTGCCCTTTTCTTCCCACAGTCGTAGGCCGTGACGGTCAGCTTGTACTGGGGCTCCTTCCCGTAGTTGAGCTTCTCCGTGTTTTTGATATAACCTTCCAGAGGAAGAAAGCGACAGTGAGGACCTGAACCCAAGCTGGTTTGGACCTCTGGTGTCCTCGACTGACACACAAAACTCACGTGCTTTCGGCCCCGTAAATACTGACAGGGAAACTTATGCTTGAGATAATTAACACTCAGCCTGGCTTTCCTGAGCTTAAACACACACTAACTCCATCTCGATTGCTTAAGCAGCAGAAAGGGGTCCACACAATTCATTTCTGCTTATTTCTACAGGGCTTTTTTTAAATATTTACTTTACGATTTAAGCGTTAGTATATAAGAGAGTAAAAAAGACAAAATAATTCAAGTACTTCAAATATTAAATACAAGATCAAGCTGCATTAAATACGTCTTGCTAAAGGATTTACTTTAGGGGAAAGAAAGCGAGCGGTTATTCTACAACCTCTAGAACAAAAGCCTGCTGTTGAATGTGAGTACAGATGTCTGCAAACTGTTTGCAACGTCCATAATTGCACCGAAGATTCTGGACTGTGCGTTAACAATGGAGACACTACATCATCATCAAGAAGCCATAATCTAATGAAGACATTGAGCTCTAGAACGAACTAATCCTGTTTAATTACCGAGGATAGAGGGGGTCTGGCAGTAAGGCATAAACCTTCATCTTCAAGATGAGGCAGAAGTTTCAAATCTAATGGAGAACAGTAGACCAGACCAACGAGAGGTCAGTCTTACTCAGATGCATGCTGACTGAACGGCGAGAAGGTGAAAACTAAAAGCATATCAGCAGGGGGGTTTACTAGACTTTGGTGAGAAGGAGAAAAGAAGCACATCCCACAGGGGACAGAAAAGAGGCTCTCGGGGGACAGAGTGAGAAAACATGACACAGGCCATGTTAGGTCTCTGCTATGGACTGAGCATTCCTGCCCCCCAAAGTTCATCAGCTGAAGTCCTAACCCTCAGTGTGATATTAGGAGGCAGGGCCTTTGGGAAGAACCTAGGTTTAGGTGAGGTCATGAGGGTGGGGCCCCATGTCAGGATTGGTGTCCTTATAAGAAGAGGGAGACCAAAGGGCTCTGTCTCTCCCACCATGTGAGGACACAGCGAGAAGGTGGCAGTCTGTAAGCCAGGAAGGAGCCCCTCGCAGGACCCTGAGTGAGCCGGGACCTTGACCTTGGACTTCCCAGCCTCCAGAGCTGTGAGACATAAATGTCCATTGTTTAAGCTGCCCATCCTCTGGCGTTTTGTCACAGCAGCCCAAATGGACTAAGTCTCCAAGTTGTGAGTTTCACTGACGTGCAAAGTGTGGGTTTGCAGCGTGTGGGTTTGCAGCTGACCGGCTTAGCAGCGACAGCCGGCCTGGACTGTCCCCCTTGGTGAGGAAAGCCCGCTCCTCCGTTCTCACCATCTTTGTTGATGGTGAATGGCACATCTGGAGTGACGATTTCATAGCTGCAAATCTGGCTGAACTGAGGGGAGCAGTCTGCGTCCACGGCCTCCACCCTCACGATGCTGTCGTACCGCTTCCCCTCGATGACGGTCGCCTTGTACGACTTCTCCTTGAATACAGGTGCATACTCGTTCACATCGTTCACCTGAATATGGACAGTTGCTCTGGAAGAAGGGAAAAGAGCTGTGTGCTTTGTTTGACTTTTTACCCCTGCCCCCCAAAAATTCTGCCCTACTTTTAAATTCCCTTTTTCTGATATCTTGTTTTATTAAATTTTCTGCTGAAGATAAAAATTAAACTATTCATTGCTTTTAATTTAGTATTGAGACAACAGAAAGTTAAAAAAGGAATTTGGGTGGATTCTCCAGGTCCTAGAAGGCAGGAACATAAACCATAAAAGACTCGGGATTTTCCTGACAATGTGGGATGGGGCATGCAGAAGGGGGATAAACCACATCAGGTATCTGTTAGCTCTCCAATACAAAGTTACAATTTTGTTGCAAAATTCAGAAAAAAACAGAGCCAAAGGAAGAAGGGATAAGAAACAGGGAAGATGGGAAATTATGAGCATTAAAACAAGTTGTGCCCTGCTTCTAAGGGACAGAGACCGTTGTAACCCATGGTTGGGACACGACCCATTGTTGATCCAACAAATGAGGGGCCTCAATGCGACCTCAGGGTTGCCCTTCCTGGGAACCCCCATGCTGCCACATTTCATCTCCCCAGCTCGGAGATGAGGGAACGAAGACATCGTCAGACCAGGCTACAAGGAGAGAAAACTGCTGGTCTCCGGGGCTACTCATCAGGGAATGTTTCTGAATCAGACAAGGTCTCTGATTGAAATAAGACCTTTTTCAAGGGAAACAGTAATATCTCACTGTGTAAAAGCATGAGGAGTGATTCATTGGCACTCAGCACCCCCACTATTTAGCAAGACATTCCACACCCCAGCATCAACTTTCCTTCCTTCCTTCCCACTCTCCATCCACCCATTCATGCATGCTACCATTCATGCATCCAGCCACCCATCCAGCCACCCATCCACCCATCCAGCCACCCATCCACCCATCATCCATCCATCCATCATCTGTCCATCCTGCCCACTCTCCATCCATCTGTCTACCCGTCCACCTTGACCCTCACAATGGTTGTGCGACATCATCTCACCCACATACTACTCTTTCCTCAGTCCATGTACTAAGCAGAAACTGAGACTAAACAAAATTAAATACACCTAATGACGAAGCGCTAGGAAGTAGCTGTGGAGGAAACACCCAAACCCTGCGTCTGTCTTGTCCCGAGCCCTCTCCATTACACCAGTAGTTCCCAGCTGGCAGGAAGGGCGTGAACACACCCAGGACGGGGCATAGAAGTCGGCTGTCTTCCACCAGCTCAAAGGAATTTCATGCCCTTAGAATTTACAGACAAAAGATCATAACAACTACAAAATACCCTCCTAGGGAAAAAGCAAGTTTTCCGTATTTTCAATGTTGGGCCTTGGTTTCTTTACTAGAGTATGTGGTGGGATAAAATTACTCATCATTTGTTTATTCGACACCCACTGTGTGCCAGGCTCTTGCTGGGAGCCCTATACAAGGGTCTCTGAGCAAATTGCTTACAATCTCACTGTGGACCATTGAGAACTATCTTCTGGCTTGTATTTTAAAAACTCGCAAAGCCAGCCGAGTGGCTCAGTTGGTTAAGAGCTCGCTCAAGAGTATGAGCTCTGAGCAACAACAGTTCAATGCCCAGCCTGAGCTGAGCTGCCGCTGAGCTGCCAACAGGTGGCAGGATGGCTCAGCTAGTAAAAAAAATAATAATAAAAATTTAAAAATAAAAAACAAACAAACAAAAACCTTGCAAAGTCTTAGGAATGGGACAGTGCTGGTCACTGTGATTTTCTTTGCGCGCATGCACGCTGTCTCAGCACTTACTTATGCGACTTCTTCACGTTGGCCCCGTCGGGCCCCTTCCCACAATCGTAGGCCTGGATGGTGAATGTATAATCTCTCTGCAGCTCACAGTCCAGCTTCTCTTTGGAGCGGATGATGCCCTCGCCAGTGGATTTATCCACCACCACTGCCTCAAAGGGCACATTCTGCCCGTGAATTTTAAATCCACAGATCTCACCTGGGGAGTCAAAGCAGCGCAGGTGAGGATTTCTGTCACGCGTACACCGCTGACACAGTCCCTCCTCCCCAAAGAAAATGAACGGCAACAATTCCGCAGCCAGGGGTTTTAGAGGGTCTGTGGACAAAGCAGGGGCGCTGTGCTTTGACAGGGTAAGTTCCGGGGCTTTAGTAAAAAGAAGCATGTTCTGGCTTTCCAAGCAACTTGTTTAACTTTGCATCCATTCATGCAGGAATACAAAAGAGAGAAAGAGAAAATATAGACAGGCATTTCACAGGAGTACTTAGGATAGCTCCAGGGTAAAGTGGGCTCATTAGCCAACAGCCAAGGCCTGATAACACCGAGAAGCTGCCCCAGCCACTGGGGGCAGCTGGGCAGCTATTTTGATTTGGACCAGAGGGAAGGCTTAAACGCACAGTTAAGTGTGGAGAGAGGAAGAAGCGTGAGGTATAGGTTCAGCACCATTATTACAGAAAGTCTGTCAAAAAAAAAAAAAAAAGAAAAAAAATCAGAAGAAACAAGTCTTCCTGTGCAATGAGCCTGGCTAAAATTAGGGAATCAAAACAAACTACTGAAAGAAAAAGGTAGAAATACCAACTTTTCAGGCATCCATTTCAACAGCTAGTGTCACTATTAAGATGCACTGTCCACGGGTGGGAGAGATTTGCTAGGCTTTTTCCTTGTTTCAGACTTGATCCTATCAGACCTGAAAAGGGAGCCTGCCTGGGAACTTAAATACATCTAAGTCGGTTTATAAGCTTAATTAGAGGTCAAATTCTAGGTTTCCAGTCTTGCCCACACAAGAACAAATATAAATGTTTTGATGCATATATAAAACTTCACAAAATGTGTTTCACGTAAAAATAAGACTGAGCTCTTCCAAAATTACAACTAATAGAAAATGGTTACAAAGTGAATCTCATAAGTTCAATGAAGAAAAACAATGTACAGTACTATCCGAATAGTTCAAATGGATGTCTGATTTCCAGATATTTCTAACCAAGGGTTTGGTTACATACAATTTCCATCAATGTATTTAAAAAATAGAAACAAAGTAGGAGAATAAATAGGGGTAAAAAAGCATGACAGCTTCTTCTGTTTAAGGGCTGATTCCCAATTTTATAAACAAAGTTAGTGGGTTAATATTCATAAGAGGGATAGAAAGAACCCTTTATCACCTTCTTTGGTGACTGTCACCTCAAAACTCTCTAAAGGGAGAAAAGATAAACCCATGTCAGTAATACAGGAAAGAATGAAGATGGAACAATAAGGAAAAAAAGTCAAAGATGCACATATTACATAGAAAAGCTTGACATAATTTAACAATAAGCTCAGTAGCCACTTGTTAGAATTGCTATAGCAAAACTGGACGTTTGGTCACAAAATGTCTCTTTGAATCCTACTTACCATGAACCACTGCAGAATTTTAAAATTATACTATCATATGGAGGAAATGCTGCTGTAAAGTTTCATGACTCTCAGGCGTGTTAGGACTTATCTTTTAATGAACACTTTGATGATAATAGTTTAGACATAAACCAATTTGCTCTTTTACAGTTTTCAGATTGCCATTTTCAAGCCAAGTTCTTATGGTTAGAGTCTGGTAACATTCAACTCGTCATTAGATGTAATAGAACAAACAGTTGGAACAATGGGTTTTATTTTAAGCCTTTGCTCTTGAGCTGAATAAATAACAATGTTTTCTAATCTACTCTTGGTTCTAATCCAATCAAGGTAACAAATATAAACACCTCTTCAAATGGGAACATCTGCTTAAAAGTGAAGTGAAATGAGATTCAGTATTCACTGTAGTGATGGATACTACAATGGTCATCGGTTCTCATTACATGAAAACACTAGTCAACAAAGCCAAGATGTGAGCCCTGCCTACCTGGCCCCAGGTAAGAATGCAAAGAGGTCAGGAGCCCCACTGCCTCCCCCACTCAGTGTGGCCTCGCTGGGGGCACCTTTTCTCCCCCAAAGGTATCACAGCCTGAATCCCCTTGCTTTTTCTTTCTTTAGTTGTTTTACCATATATTTGTATATCCCCAAAAAGTGTTGTTTCATTTTGCTTATTTTGGAGGTTTTAAAAATGGTATCATACGATATGGAATATTTGTGTCTTGCCTTTTCACTCAGTCTTGTGCGTCTAAGAACCATTTGTCCTCGACAGCACATTCAGCTACAGTGCAATCATTTTCACTACTACATACTGTGAGACTGCAATGAGTGAAAACAAATCAAGTGCTTAAAACACTCTGGCATACAGAAAGCACTCAACAGGACCAGCCAAGTAGGCTCAGTTGGTTAAGAGCTGGCTTGGGAGCGCAAGCTCTGAGCAGCAGGACCCCGGTTCGGATCTCACATGGGCTAGCAACGCTGTGCCTTCTACAGCTAACACAGTGAACAACAGCTCGATCTGGAGCTGGGCTGCCGTGAGCCGCCATGAGTGGCTGTCCAGTGGCCGGCGAGCAACTGCCTCACCAGGGAAGAGCACAATGATAATACCAACATGGGCCAGTGAAGCGACGTCCTCCACAACTAGACTGAAGAACAAAAGGACGGCAACTTGTCTGTTCCCCTTCCCTGATTCCCCAATTTAAAAAAAAAAAAAAAAGCACTCAACAAATGTTCGCTGTTACTATAATAATTTCCCATTGTGTGAATCTACCATCAGGGCCGTTTTTTGCTGTTTATGAGCAATGCTATAATGGATATTTCTGTCTGTGCTTCCTGCTATGCACACACGGCGTCTCTCTAGGTCTGTGCTGGCCAGTGAGGTAGCCACTACCCACATGGGGCTGTTTAAATTAGAATTCATGGTAACATTGAATAATGGTAAAAATTCAGTTCCCCAGTCGCGCTGGCCGCATTTCAAGTGCTCAGTAGCCTCACGTGCCCAGGAAGGACTGAATGGAGGAAGCGGGCACCGAACGTTCGGCAGCTTCTATTGGACAGCACTGCCCTAGAGCCCGGGCAGGCCACCCCTGGCCTGTGGACCAAATCCACTCTGAACAACCTACATGCTAAAAATGGCTTTTATCCTTTGAAATATTGTTTGGTGGTACAAGAAAATTATGTGAAATTCGAGTTTCAGTGTCCATAAGTCAAGTTTTATTGGGGCACAGATCACATGTCTGCTGTCCGACATATTGGTTTATGTCTCGTCGATGGCTGCTTTCCCCCACAATGGAAAAGGAGGGTCATTGCAGGAGAGACCCCCTGGGCCACAAAGCCAGAAGTATTTACCATCTGGTCCTTTACAGGAAAAGTTCGCTGATCACTGCTCTAGAGACACACCTGTGAGGATGACTGCTGGGCACGGATACGTCAAACTGTTTTCCAGAACATGCTAATCCACTATATTATGTTTACACTTTTGGGGTGCCTATTAGATTGCATAATACATTTAAAAATAAGTCAAGCTGCCCAACTTTACTTCAGAGGAAACTTGTCAGTTTCCGAGTCGGAGTTGACTGCTCTGAAGAGAACAGGGTGGGGCTGTTCGCATTATCTGGGCAGAACTGCTGGTGGCTGCCTGTGCTCTCCTGAAAAGGTCTCTGCGTGGTAAGTGCACACTGAAGAACCTGGGTCAAGTACGTGAGCTAGGCTAGGCGCCTACATGGTACGTTGTTAAGGGGTTAACGACACTCATCGTTTAAGGAATGAACTTGAGATGGTTTCTGGGAGGAGCAGAGCTGTTTGCCAAGAGATCCAACTCCCTAAATCTCTCCTTTGGGATTTCATGTTGGGAGGAGAAGGAGGGAGAATGGAGAGCGTGGGAAGGCACTGGAGTGTTTCCATTTGAAACGTCAGCTGTTGGAAAAGGCTTCATTGATAAGATAATGTCTGAGTAGAAACCAGAGGAAAGAAAGGGGAGAATTTCAGATAGCGGGAACAGCAAATGCAAAGGTCCTGAGGCAGACCTGGGCCCGCCCTGGCTCAGAACAAGGAGGCCTCTGCTGCTGCAGCAAAGGGCTAGAGAGCTTTGAGCAGAGAAATAAAGGTATTGCTTACATTCTGAAAGACTCCATCTGGCTGCTGCGCTGAAAACAAGCCTATAAGAGTACCAAGAAGGTTACGGGGGTAACCCAGGAGTGAGGTGCTCAAGGCCAGAACCAGGGAGCCGATGGGGTGGTGAGAAGTGGTCAGATTCGGGGTGAGTTTTGAAAGTGAGGCCAAGGATGTGGGCTTCTGAGTGGGAAACAGCAGGAGGAGGCCTGGAGGGAGGAACGGGCGCTTGCATGGAACTTCGACAAGCATCTGTCTGTACTACAACTTTTGAAGGACTAGCATCTCAAAGGTGTGCTTATCAAAAATGAGGATATAAATTATTTTGAAACTCATTATGTATTTCCAGGCCGATCTCTACACGACTGGGCTCATCCCTAATGCGAACAGCTGAAATGTACAGTGTATCTTTTCCACGTCCCCACTGGCTGTATTTAAGCTGGCTGCTTGAATGGGCTGTACCAACAGACCTTGGTACCATGATACTTACTAAATTGCTAGGCAGGCTGGGTCCTTTGGCCCAAAATGACATAACGGCCATCTCGCCAGGTGGCAACTTGCCACACCAGGAGTGGCATGGGCGTCACATTCTGGCAGACCTGGGTTTGCCAGACCAGCTGGGTGACCCTACGTGTCACTGCTGAGTCATCACCTGGGGACCAGGCAGTGCACCCACTTCAAGGGTCCGTCTACTCGTTCCATCTAGGACCACGCTTGAATGAGGACGGTGGATCCAAGTGCAGCAGGGTGAGGGGCAAGTGGTCAAGACGCGATCTGCTGAGGGCCACACTAAGGCAGTTTCGGTAGGAAAGACTTAGGGAGTTTTAGGAGGATAAGACTTCAGGACCAACTAGATAGAGACAGAAAGAGTCTAGAGCAACTCCCTGGTTTTCGGCTGGTGGTGCCATCAAGGGAACGGGGCACAGAGAGAGAGAGACAGGCGTGGGAGGAAGGTGATTCGCTCCACTGTCTGTTTCATTCGTCCCTGCCAACTTCTTGCTTCTGGAGTATTTTAAAGCCGGACATTAAACTGTTCCATCTATACAAAATTCACTAGATACCTCTGGCAGATGAAGACATTTTCTTTAACAAAACTATTATAACATCACACAGCCAACAAAATTAACAATAATTCCTTAGATTTTTTTCATAGTGAATATCCTACCACCTCTCAAACTACACTCAGTTTACGATCTTCCTCCCCCAAACCAGGGACCAATTGCTGTCAGTAACACCCCAATTCTCCCAGGAGCTGGCTTTTTAAACCTTAAAGCTGTCATTGACTCATTCTTTCCTCTGTCCTCCATCCTTGCAGTTCTGTTAGTTATGCACACTGGACAATTACACACACGTAGTGACAGAGTAGTTAAATGCATTATATGGAGTTACATCATGGTGACGACAGGTAAAGGTGCATCTCTACCTCTGCATTCTCAGTCTGCTGTCTGACATGCACCTTCTCTCAACCTTTACAAGGAAGGACCTCTCGTATCCCTTTTCTTTCCGCCCGGCCCCTTCCCACTCGTTTAAACCACGTGCCACTGCTCCGCTGGGTGAAAACCTAAAACCCTGTTCTATCGTGTTTCCCGGATGACCTCTTTAGCTATGCTGGCCTCGGAATGGACCAAACCTTTCCCTGTCTCTCTTCCCCTTCATTCCCCTTAGATCATCTCAAATGGTCAAAAGGAACTTCACTAAGAAATATTTTTTTTAAGCAAAACATAAAAATATAACAATGGGTGAACCCAACACAGTACAGATGTGACTTCTTGCTATCCAAAGTCATGTCCACGGTTCTCCGTGGACAGCGGTTAGCCTTCACTTTCCTCACTGTCCCTCTGAGAAACCTCAGCTGCAGGCAGGCCTTGCATTCTAAGTCTTCTTCCAAATCTGAGTACGGCCTCAAACTTCACTGCTCTTCCCCAAAAGAGAGGGGCGTCTCTAAGCCTACCCAGTAGTCTCCCCCACTCTCAGGTTGTTCTGCCCTTGCACGGCACTCCTGAGGGAGGTCATTAGTGCCAGCTCCAACAGTTTGGTTCCCTGATTGCAAGCAACAGAAATCCATTCCAGCTAACTCATGCAAAAGGGGCTTTATTGAAAAGCCATGGAATTGACTGCAGGCCAGAGAAAAAGACTTGGAAAGCAAGGTAGCTCAAGAGACCAGGAGATAGGGGCCACACGAGTCCCAGAGCAACCAGGCCTGGACAGATGGAAGGCAACCCCACTGGTGTCAGCACATTTGTCCCTCTGCTCAGCATTCACATTGCCAGGAAAGAGTATGTGGTCAGCCTAGCGTGGGTCGTTGGTGCATTTGGCTGGGGAAGGCGGGGTCACAGTTGTAGATGCACCCAACTGGACCCAGTGGTAAAGAGACTGGGGCAGCAAGCTCCCACTACAAAATGCCCACTACGCCAACTCTCATCCCTGACCCACTTCTCTGCTCAGCCCTGGCGTCCACGCTCACCAGCTAGACGTGCAGGCTGGCGCTTATCTTTGGTAACTGGTCCAGGCCAGTGTCTGGGACAAGCTCACGTGTGGCTCTCATCAGTACAGTTTCTCAAACTACCTTAAACATACAGTGACAAAAACCACACAGCCAAGGGTTATGCCCTCCCAGCCCTCCAATTTCAGTGTGCCAAGAATTGCCTGGGAAGCCTGTTAAAAGCGTGATGTGCCACGCCCCATCACGCCCAGCCATTCCGACTCAGCGGCTCTGGGGAGCCCAGTGACCTGTGTTTTAACCAGTGCTGCCAGGTGGTCCAGTACACACAGGCCACAGTGTGTGCCTGGAGAAACTGCCCGTGAGTGGTCTGCAAACCCCGTTGGCTGGGTACAGATTTCTTAGGCTCCACCCTGGAGGTACGGGCTCAGGCCGCTGAGAGCAGAGCAGGAATCTGCTCTCCACGTTCGGGCCCCGGAGGGCTGGACGCCATGTCACACGTGCGCAGCCACATCCCAGTGGGCACCACACGGCCCCGGGTTGACGCCCCACCTCTGCTCAGATCCCCGGCGCTCCCATCACTGTCAATGTCAATTCTGCCATGCCTTTTGTAGTCTGCATCATCTTGCTGTTTATTTATGACCTCCAGCCCTTCCTGGGCTGCCAGTCTCACTTGGCACTGAACCACAAACCTCCCGGTATCCGGGGCCAGGCTGGCTCTGCCCTCTCACCCAGAGTATCAGTGCTTGGAGAGCAGGGCTCAGCTTTTCTGCTTCTTTGTGTCCTCCGGACGTCCTACCATCATCACCTCATGTCTCATGATTGCGGATCCCAAACCTTTCCTGGAGGCGACTGCATTCAAAACGAATTAACTACGGTTAATGTGTAGTTTCGTCCCAATGCCCAGATCCTTACTTAAAATTGCTGCTCAGCTGATCTATTAATTAGGAAAACCACATGAAATTTCCAACATTCCATTTTTTTCAAATATTTTGATAATCTTACCATGTAAAAATGGCAATTTCATGTGGCTTAACGCAATACATCCAACTTGCTGCTATAAACACAATGTTTTGATTTCCTAAAGTACTTGACAAATACCCGTTACATGTGCTAAAAAGGCAAAACTGAGGGGTGACGGACAGCAGTTAACCCCACCGGCCGTCCTGGGAAATGCGTCATTTTAATTTCCTAAAGTACCTGACAAACACCAAGACTTTATTCTCTTAGTTTCACCCTAAGAAAGAAACCTGGGCTGGACCCTGTGCGTTCACCACCAGTGTCTGATTAGTGACAACTAACAACGTGCTTGGGTAGCTGAGCTTCCAACGTTACATGAGTACTTATTTCGGGACGTGGACAAGCGAGTCTCCGGTGTTACCCACACACATTCCTGGGACGGGTAAGACCAGGAGCCTGAATGTTTATAATGTTTTAAAGATAACGTCATGAGAGCTGACATGGTGAACCTATGACTCAGCCGGGGCCAGGCCGCCTGGCACGAAGGTGGCTTATCACTCACGAGCTGTGTGATCTTGGGCAAACCCATTCATTCCTTCTGCAATAGTTAGGGAACGTCAACTAGTCCCAAGCGCTGGTCTAGGTACAAACCACAGAACCGTGTACAGCTGACACTTTCCAGGGTAAAAAGAGGCCTGAGGGAGTAAATACAGAACTCTTGACTGCAATCGTTCCTTAAAATGCATGAAATGTCAGAAATGTTCACGTCGACTCAAAAACATACGCTAGATAATCCTATGAAAGTTATTTACACAGCACTGACTATCACTGTACATAATAACTAAATATGGAAGGCATGGGGTATGTGGTATATAAGTATACACACAAACACTCAAAAATCTAGTTAGTTACAGAGGAAACCAATATGCAATGCTGGAATGATTTTAAATTGGGGGAAACAAACAAACAAAAATAATCTCAGCTACTAGGCAAATACTGTGTGTGTATTCAGAGCATAGAGCACTTCCTCTACTGTCCATCTAATTGGGGTCTTCACTAAAAACCAATAAGCAAGCAAAACCCCTGGAAAGGTCTGTCTCCACCACGGACTCAAACGGCACATGCTGGTTCTCAGGTTACTGTCCTAAATAAGGGATGTGGCACTTGAAGATAATGAAGGCCAAATTCCTTTTTTTAAAGAGCTCTTCAGAAACACATTCATGTCCCTCAATTTACATGTGTATGACGTGATGTATATGAGTTAGCTGAATTGGTCTTACTTGTCCCTCGGCAGACAGCACACACTAATATGAGGAATTTTGTTCTGGAAAAATATCACGCAACAACTGCCCTTTAAAAATTAACTTCACAGTGTTGGTTTTGGGAAGGAAGGGTGAAGTAGTCCATTTCTCCACCAGCCAAGGGAGTTACTATGGACATGATGGAGAGCAAGGACAGAAACTGTTCCGATGGGGAAACTGCTAGCAAATGTTAGCCAAAGAGCAGGTCTCCAAAGCGAGCCCAGATTCATCTCCATAAATAGGTCCCAATCTTAGGAAAAACCTCAACTTTAAAAATGTATTCAAAGTAAAATCTAAGCCAAAGAATTTTTCTCTATGAAGACTGCTCGGTGTTTTCAAGTAAGTCTTTTCAGGTAACTGCAACCGAATTAGTACAAGGAGAGTCTTGAGCTGTAATTAGCCAGGTCCTCACCTCTCAGGGACGTGCACCACCTGGGAGCAAGTCAGGAGGGCAGAGTCTCAGGTCCCCCCGGACCCTCTGTATCCGAACACGCACTGCACACTGCAGTTTGAGACACACTCACCTAGATGTTACCTATCTGGTTACATCAAGACAAGGAATATAATGATGCTATTAGATATTTTGCTTTTCAACCATAAGTACAGGTGTTTTGTCAGGAACCCCGACTATTTTAATTACAAGGAAAAAATGCGGGGCATGGGTGCCACAAACAACCCTTCACCACAGAGACACTTTCAGAAAGGGTGAGAAACAACCCAAATGGATGCGTGAGGTGCGTCCCATCTGCGCCAAAATGTCAAGCATAAACAAAAAACGCGCTCCTACCTGAGAACCGCAGAGGGGCGTCTTTGTCCAGGGCGATCAGCGGGGGGTCCAGAAGAACCGTGTTGTCGTTCTCTGTCACTATGCCATGATAGGTGGGCTCAAGCCACGGCTTGTGCTTGTTTGCTGTGTTCCAAAAAACAGAAAGGGGAAAGAGCAGATTAGCGTGATTATTTTAAACCCAACGGCTTTTGAAGACATAACATCTATCATTAAAGTAACAAAACCCTCATTAGTCTGGAAGGCGACACTTGTATTTTTTTTTTCTTGCAATGTTTGGTATCAAGACCCACATGGGATGAAATTCTAAATTCTAGAGGAAGCAATGTAAAAACTATCTGAGTTCAGGAAGCAATCAGAGCTAAGAGATAAATTGCTCTAGAAATTAAACGAAAGAAAAAAGACGGATGGCAATAGACACAAACTGTTTTCAGCCTATCACAGAAGTTACAAAGAAAAATATTATTTCTTTATGACAATACAATATAACTTATTTAAAATCAGCATTATAAAAAATGTAAAACAAAGTGCAAATAGTCGAGACTTATGAATATAAACTTACAAACATAAGGTATTCAAAACAAAATGCAAATTTCCTGAAAAACTTGACTGAAAACACAGTATTTAAGAATCCACTTTGGGGGCCGGCCGAGTGGCGCGATGTTAAGAACTCGCTTGGGATGCCAGAGGGCCCCGGTTCGGATCCCACATATGA